ATTCACCCCACCCCCTCCCTCCAACCGTTTAAAGTTATTTTCGTCCATGATAATAAACCAATATGTTATAATAATAATGAATTTGTTACAAAGTCGTCCTGTGTATACGGCTAATATCAACTCGGTAAGAATTTATAAAACACGGTCGGAGAGTAATTTCATAATGTCTCCGAGGAAATTTGAATTGTATTATTTAAAAAGCATTTCAAACGAAATTCGATTTGGATTAATCGTAGATGTATTCAAAACAACTACACAACCGACAGTATAATAGAGTTCCGTATCGACATGAGATTGGCGGCCATACGGACCGAATAGGCCAAATTGTATTGATATATACGCATTAAATATTTGTCTATGGTACATAAATCAGGTGTTTTATTGGGATTATTACAGAATGATGTTAGACAAAGGATTTATGATTAATTTAAATTATATGTCATATTTTGATTAACCGCTGAATTATATTTATCATATAATTCATGGCTTAAATTAATATTTTATGGGCTTATCAATCAAATGTTCCCTCTCAGTACGGCTGTCAGGGTTCATATAAACTCATAGCGTCTATTATCTATAACCGCTGCCCGTATGTACGGGAATTATTTCGTTTTTATTACGAAAATAAACGAGTATCAGTTCAAATTATTATGAACACAAATTTCGTTCAAGTGATAATGAAAACAATAAAAATCCGATGTGTGTGTTCAATCTACAGGTGACTAGCAAAATCGCGTTTGAAAAATACACAATAAACCAAAGGAAACACAGCGCGCTACAAAATATTCCACAATCATTTCAAATCCCAATTTAGGAAATTGAAAAGAAAATTAATGTCTTTTGTTTAGATTTCCCCATCGCTGCTGTGCATGTCGACTACGGAAAGCATAGCTTTCGTTCTCCGTATAAAAAATGTAGGTGGTACGTAACTACCTGCCTACCTGTAAGTGCGCATTTGTATCCTTATTCTCCATAAACTAATTTATAACGTGTCTGGTTTTATTTATTCATATAAAGTGGCGCGTGCATTATAGTTCGTTAGTCCGTGAGATATTATTCGAGCTGGTGTATTAGTATTATTGTTTGAGTAAATAAAAAAAAAATTTTAGTTTGATTGGACGGCGTTGGGAATAGGCAATAATGGTACATTCGTGTCTTGTGTCCGTGATCGTCGGTATCCGGAAATTACATTACGAAACTATTTACGCATTTTCTGAAAAGACCGGAAATAAAATACGTTGGATACGGATAAAGATAAAAAAAAATAAATAAAGCCAATGCTGGTGGTCAAGTATTTAACTTGTGTCTGCAGGCAACGATGAATATAAGCCATAAAAAAAAAAACACGATTTTGAGCAAAATTCGATTATAAACACAAAATTCCGTTTTAAATTCCGTCATATATACGATTTTTGTAAAATTTACACTCAACGTTTAGATAAAAGAAAATTGGAATAAATCAAAAATATAAAATCTGATCGGATTCACACGCGCTGCTAACTAATGACCTTATTCACTTTGAAAATAATGAATTAATCTTAAAATTAAAAATTATGTATACAACTATTTATTATTTAATCATTGATAAATTTAGTTATCTCAGACGTTTTACCCAATGTATGAATCCTAACTTTGTCGGA